ATGTGTTCGCCAAGTGAATAACATCACAATCCGATCTATTCATGCCCGAGTCAGTTATATTAACTGATGAATCACGATCATCGTTCGTCTTGGGCTGTTTAAAATCCAGTAGAGCATTTTTAGTCAAAAACTCCACAGCTGAAACACAAGACTCGATTCCGGTCCAATTGATCTGTGAAGGTTGTTCACCAGTGGCGTTTTCTTCGTTCAGAGGTAAGAGTAAATACATGTTTGACGGGTTCCACAACGATTCCTTTGTTTGAAGTAAAAATTTTCGTTCTCCAGATGATTTGATGAACAATTTCCCAAACAAACCGTTAAACATCAGTTCTTGAAAGCATTTTGCTTTCTCCATCTGTAAAAGAAAAAAAAGAGTTCATCAGGGGTCGGAGTATTAGAAGGGGATAGTTACCAAACCATCAAAAGGAAAAAAAAAAAAAAAAAANNNAAAAAAAAAAAAAAAAAAAAAGAGAGTGTAACTCTCTTTGCAAATAATTTCTTTTAGCAGACCCAATTGAGGGTGTAGTTTGTTAGATATTACAATTTCGAAGAGTTGAATCATTTTTGTAACTAGACCACTCTTAAGGGTATTATGTCTCGTAATTAGCCTAATATAAACCTAAGCAAATTATCGGTTACACATATGAATATACCTGTTGAGGATTCAGGTATACTTGGCCAACTGAAGAAACATTAGCTTTAACAGATTTTGATAGCAAGTATAGATCCACTTCAAGATTCCCTACATCATCATCTAGCTTCATCTCCAGTAAAAGTACAAAACTTGAATATCTTTGCTCAGCAATACTACAACAAAAGTCCAATTTGTACGCATGAAAATGGGCATAATTAGGTTTGCCTCCCCAAGTTCCAGTCAAACTACGGACGGTAACAGAGCCATGCAATTCCTTCCTCTTTGTTGTTCCTAAAGGCATCGTAAAAATCATAAATGATAATAAAGAAGAAAATTTAAGTAATTTATTTTCTCGAGCAAATGTACACGTGGCTTTACTGGGATGTGTGTGTGTGTGTGTATAGATGATAACAATGTGTAAATATTTGTATAAAAATGGAAATGCTCATTAAATAATTTGATACAAAAAACTAAACGATTTCTAAGTTTAAGATTAGATATTTTCCAACTGTGGATGTGAAACATGCTCAGCACTCGGAAAAACAGAAAAAGAGAGAAACAAGAAAGAAAAAAAAAAATAAAAAAAATTACAACTATACCTGCCCCTGAATTTGATGATTTTTCATTTGAAGCACAATCCTTGTATGAAGACAAATCATTGCAAGGAACCAGATGATCATCAAGGGCGCCCATCATGTGCAACTTCTTGCACGCTTCCAAGCAAGCCAGCTGTTTAGACAAATGGAATTTACGAGCCAAAGGACCAACTGCAGTTTCAAAAGCCGCATTAGGAGGTAGAATCAGTTTACATCTATACAAGTTCCCATCCATCAAGGACTCGAATTTTGGCTCCGGAATGCGAGCACTGCATAGAAAAAGCATACCGTTTAAGCTTTTTACTCGTTTGGTTATGAACTTTCCATTTACTGAGAGAATCGGAGAAGGAAAATATTATTTACTCGTCTGCAGAGAGATTTTTGCAATATTGTTGTATGAGGATGATGCTTGAATCGGGTGTAACTGATGCCCCAGTTGACTTTACGACATATTGGAAAGCTTCATTTGTAGTGCAAGCTCTTTTTGCTTGATAATCATCAGTGTCTTTATTATCCATGGATGTACATGTCATTGGAGTTTCGTTCTTGGTAACGTGGGAGACATGTTCTATTTGCTTTTTGTTTCCTCTTAAACACCGAAAAAAAACAAAAAAACAAAAAAACAAAAGTTTGTTAGAGCAGTTGTGATGCAGAAGCAACTAAAATCCTTATACTTTAAAGGGATTTGAAAATAAATACATAAAATAAATTGTGGTTGTAAGACAGAGGATAGGGAGGAAAAACGAAAAAGAAAAAGAAAGAGAAGCAAGTAGTTTTTAATGTTTACAAATGTCGGCTTTCACATTTTACCTCAAATTTTATTTTTTATGTTTTGGTTTATTAGAATGTAAAAGCTTCCAGGCTGGCATTTTCAAACAAATAAGAACTTCTGCAAATAGCTTCATTTTTAAATAGCGCAATTTCACGCGCACTATAGCACATTTTTACCCAAAAACACGACATTGTGTAAATAATTTTGCGCAGTTCCAGAAAAGCGCAAGCAATTTACGCTATATTTTGCGCTATTTATGAAATTTGCGCTATTTACGCAATTTATGCTATTTTTCAAGCTATTTGGACAATCCTTATTTTTTATAGGCAAAAAATAAAAAATAAAATATAATAAAGTACAAAAAAAATAAAACTTAGGGCACAAAATTGAGTAATTTCTCCCATGGCGAATTTGAGTGATTATTAAATCATGTGCCGTATTTCTCTAGAAAAAAACAAATATTTGAAAAACTGAATCAACATAGCTAGTTTTGACCTTTTGGACTATTAGAATCATGGGATGTTTACTCAAAAGTGAAATGAGAAGAACACTTCTCTTTTTTTCTGGAGATGCAAGAATTTAGTGAAATTGTACCAATGATTTTTTATAGTGAAAATTTCCATAACTTTGATAGAATTGACAATGATAGCCAAATTCAATTAGATAACACCGATCATTTTAAGATTTTGAGTCTTTACTTTAAACATTAAGACTTTGGTTGTTTGAAGAATTAATATTTGAATTTTACTTTTTGGATTCGATGTCAAGTTTATGGTTTATGACCATTTTATTTACTTATTTGCTTCTATGGTTATATATTATTATTTTTTGCATTAAAAGTGAATTTCTCGAAAAGCTCATGCAATGCACTACGCTATTTACGCTACGCAATATAAAGGCCAAAACGTGACTCATTGCGTGATGCGTGTTTTAAAACACTGCTTTCACCAAGCAAATCTCATTGAAATAAACTCAACTTCTAAATTCTATTTGCAAGAACTGTCATGTTTGATTCCAACTACTTTCAGCTTTTGTTAAGATGAATCGCTTCTAAAAGTTGCACACACTCCCAAATTTTGTGTGTGTAGTTGAAAAAGACACTTCAAATTACAAGGAAATGGATATGAAAAAGCTTTCACCTCTCAAGCATGATGATATACTGCGAATCCTTCTCACGAGCTAATCCCCTCGATTGAACATAACTACCAACAGTTTTTGGCAAATCAAAGCTAATTACTGAGGAAAATTTGCCCACATGAACTCCGTCCTCGATCACGTCAGTAGAGAATAAGAGATTGACCTAAAACATTTTGCTCAACAGTCAAAAGAGCTGGAAAGAAAAAAAAAAACTATTACATATTCAAGGCACCATAAAATTAATACCTTTTGTGCTTTTGATGGGAGTTCAGTTGAAGAGTTCCTTTCCGTCAAATATGATATATTTAAATCAGAAAAATCAGCAATTTTCTTCACCACTCTTTCAA